CCCCCCGGCCCCTCCCCTAGATCCGCTATTCTATTTCCGTCCCATATTAATTGAATTCGTCAATTGTGAGCATAAAAAATGGGTGGGTGGTGCCAGGGTTTAACGCCCTGACAATTTCTGCCATCCCGCTTTACTTAGAAATGGTAAATGATAGACAATGAATCCTCTTTTATAAACACACCAAAAGGGCCAAGGCTGAGTGTCTGTATTATGAAGGATGTCCGTATTGTAGCGGAAGATATGATATGAGCACTGGTTTCTCTCGGACCAAGTGATGTATCGGTGTGCGTATTCCAGAGGTGTCTTTAAGTAAAGGGTCGACTGTAATCCTTTACCCTTATATTCTTGATGGGTGTGGGCCATGATAGTCATCGATTATAGCTCCTGTTACGGATTTCTGTGTGTCATTAGACTGAAAAACTGTCGTATTTTTTGCGAACGCGAGCGACGGTCAATATTCGAACGAAAGGTCTGGAGCGTAAAAACGGCGAGGGAGAATGGGGAGAGACGCTCGCGCGCTTCACACGCGAGGATCGCGCATACGGCGCTTCGCGCCTTCCGAAAACGTCCGAAAACGATTGTTTTGCAGTCTAGTTTTTCATCGTCTGATGGGTTCTCCTTTCATGTCACAGTTCAACAAACTTAATTGTTACTTCATAAATTAAAAGTACCGTTCTAAATTTCTTCTTTAAGGTTACTGTCCATGTGACCGACGATAACGACAACGCTCCTCGATTCCAGTTCCACTCTCCATATAAAATGACCGTCATGGAGGATGCATCCCTGGGGACTAGAGTGGGCCGACTACAGGCTTTTGACAGCGATGTAGGGCAGAATGCGGTGTTTGAGTACGCTATTACACATGCAAATATTGGTAAGGTCCCGTATTATTTAGGCGAAGTGTCACCAGTAAGGGTTTACAAATTCATTGCTAGCGGTGATATGGAGTTTTAAGTTTTAAATTAGAAGTGTCAAGAAAAGATCTGAAGCATATATTTTTTAACAAATTACGAACTTAAATTGTTAAACTAACATTGTTTAGAGAGAAACGGTCATTATATCTATGAAGGAACTGATGGAAATATCTGTTTTGATTAAGGTCCAGGGCTATCAATGATCTCGATCCACACTGACTGTGAAACTCCCCTGGGTCTGGAGAATGGTGACGTAAGAGCCAGTGACACAAGCGCGACAAGCACGTACACAGTCCCCAACGAGGATT